TTGTTTACACCTGCACCTCAGACACTTGCATAGTGGATCAAAATCCGATGGCACTTCTTCACGTTCATGATTTCCATCCAGCACCACTGACTGAAATGCAGCCCCAAGTCGTGACCTTCACTGTGTTTTACAGAATGCTCTCGACACTCACTGTTGTACCTCTCTCCTGACCTCCTCCGTGCATATTGATGACAATTTGAACCAAAAATGTCAAATTTGGATTCATCATGCCATAAAACCCATCACTTATTTTCAGTCCAATTCTTGCGTAATTTGCCATTCCTGAGACTTTTTTCACCCGTTTCCTTTCCTTAAGAACAGCTTCTTGACAGACACCCTTCCACTGAGACCATCTAGCTTCAGTAAACAGTAGATGGATCATCTGAAGGGCCAGATACTTCTCTTAGGTCCCGTGTCAGGATTTTTCTTCCTCTTTCTTAAGGATGTGATTTTTTTTACATACTGTCCCTCTGTTGTTGATCTTTCTTTTAGGATTCTGCTTCTTTTGTCTTGCACTGGTCCCGTTTCCTCTAAATTTTGAAAGACATACTACACACCATACTAAAGGTTATGCAGACTGAGTGTAGTGTGGGGTACCTAAATGCATGCTCAGAACACAGGCAGGAACGACAAATAACTCTTTGGGAGTCAACTTGGTGCAAAAATAGTATTTCATACTTGTCAAACTGATGTGCTTGGAATAAATGTGTTTTTGTGACAGGGTGCTCGTTACAAAGTGCCTAATGATACAAATAAATTTGCTTAAGTGTGCAATATGTGTAGAACAAACACTGGTTCATCTTTGAGTTAGGTGCCTTTTTGTGTTTGAATGATTCATAGGTCAGCAATAAGTGGCTTAAAAAATTCTTCTGAAAATCACCTTGTACACAGACTGGAGTGAAAAGGAGTGAAAAAGCAGCCAAAGAAAAACTGAAAGAGCTTCAGAAAGCCTGGAGAACAGAAAAAAAACCCCTCCTCTGGCTTCTTGGTAAATATTAAACTGAGAGGAGCAAGACTTTTGCACAGTACTGCATATACAGTACAGCGATATTACTGTGTACATTTCCCTGGATCACAGTTTTCACAGGGGTTAAGAGTGATATGAAATTACTGGAGTATAGAAAAATCAAACATGTTTTTTTTATGTCTAAACCTTGGCACTAAATGATCAGCCTCATTTGACCTTCACCAAGTAGGCAAAAACAGTATTGTGCTGCTGCAGAGACATTTTGCATTCTCTGACTTTCCTCAGCGAGTTAAAAATAATTGCTCCAAACTGCATCACTCAGGCTGTAAAGATGCCACTAGTGAAGTAATATATAAAGTTAAGTCTTTTCTAAAACACTTTCACACTTCTAAGGTAGCCATTTTCCTTTTGCCCACCGTTTCTTATGACAAGCTGCAGTACTTGTCAGTTGTAGGGAACTCCCAAGTGTGAATGTGCACGGTGTAAGAAACTGCTAAAAGTAAAGGTCAAGTCCTCATTTAAACACCTCTGATTAAAGGTTAAAGTATCTTTAACATTTAAGTTTTGCAAAACTGAACAGAGTGACAGTGGATAATCTGGACGACAGCAGTGAACAGGAGACCCGCTGCTGCCCATAACACTGCCTCACATTTCAGAGCAGTAAATTGCACTGTAGGAAACATTAATTATAAAGCCACGCCACTGATGACTTCTGCAGTGCCATGCGATCATAATTCTTTCAAACTGAAATGAAAAATTCAGAAAGAAACGTCTGAACCGAGTAGCTGTGAAACAAAAGCGGCGCGATCGATCCGAATATAAAGCCGGAGAACGACTTCAGACAATGATGCAGTACCTCTGTGGGTTGGGCTCGTTGTGTTTGTCTCTCTCGTGCTTAATCATTCTGTAGCGGCCGATGCGAACGTCTGGCCTAGACACCTTCATCCCATTCAAAGTGATCCTGCAACACATGCAGATAGAACAGAATCTATTAGAGAAAAGGAAACAAACTGAGCCAAAGAGGAGATGAGAGAGAAAACATGCTGATTATTGAGGAAAACACTGTAACAAACAGAGCTGGAAGACAGGGAGAGGGAGAACACATTAATGAAGAAATATAGCGAGGCTGCAACTTTTTATGTCATCTATCAGCTATTTTATTAAATCAACAGCAAAGAGAATCAATTTATGGAAATTGCAATTTCCCATAGCCAAAGCCTGAGATGACAGCACTTCTGCTGTGAGGAGAAATTATTTAGTCTACAAAAAGTGGGAAAAAATCCTTTAAAATACCTGTTTCAAATATCCAATCCCTGAAATAATGTTTTAAATGCCCAAACCTGATGAATAGTAAACAAAAATAATAAAAATGTTTGTCACACACAACAGAAAAGCTGGAAATCCACACATTTAGTAAGTTGTATGAAAATAATCAATAATAAAATGTGATATGTTCAACTTGTGTTTATATCAATAGAGAGTCAACAAAAGCAGGAATTCCTCATATAATAGAAGCGAGAGCGAGCAAATGTTTTGCTTCAAAACAAATCAATAAATGCGGCTGCTTAATTTTGCCTTTTTAGTACAAAATCCCCCCGTGGTGTTCCCACTGACTTAGTCTCATGTGTGTTTGTCGTCAAACAGCTGAAGCTTCTCATTACTGCAGCTTTAGCTGAACTTTGGAGAATCGTGGATTTTGGCTATCCATCTGTCACACCAAACGCTCAGCAGCACTGAGAGAAAGGCCCTTATTTCCCATGATCTGTCGTGTAGCTGCGTGAGTTACTGCACAACACACTTTTTAGCTTTTCTGCCAGCTTTTGCAACCAAATAATTAACTTTCGAACCCCAATATGTGCACTTCTGTGATGCACATATTATAGAGAAAACTGTGAAAAGGTTAATTTTGTTCCTCGGAAGTGATAGTTATGCAATGCTACTCTGTGAGTCCACTGAGAATTGGATAAACCTTGCAGAGACCACGAAAAAAGAAAGGAGAATAAGAATATGAGAACAGAAATTTAATGTTGTGTTTGTTTATAATCTGCTATGGTCTTCATTAGGTATCCCTGGGTCCATTCAAGGCCAGGAAGGGCAAAAAAATCATTACAGCAACTGACAACTCTATTAACGGACTGTACAGCTAATCAATATTTGTGCTAAAATATTGCTGTAAGACACATTAAATCTATACATATCTCACAATAACTGACTATTCTTGCTAACAGGAAAGAATTTGTAGTGGTGTATCGGCTATTTTGACTTCTACTGCCCTTCACATCGGACTCTTAGTCCCATCCTTAAAGGGTCATAACTCCCCTAGACAGGACATTGCAAAGCAAAGGAAGCTAAAAACTAACACAGCAATGATACTTGTATACCACAAACATAAACGATCCAAACAATCAATCTCCACTCTCGAACTCTGGGGACATCAGCTGGGAATAAGGCGAGCATTAGCAATGTGTTTCCCTGTAAAGTTTGGGATCAGAACTTTTAGAAACAGTGGTAACATTGTATTACTAGGATTCAACACAGGGCCAAATCGGCACAGAGATTTATATCTAATGCAACAGCAAATGGGGTGTAGACAACACAAACAACATCTCTGCTCCACATAAAGCCCAGTTTAAAACCAGAGGCTTCCAGAGACATTGATATTCATAACCGAGACGGCATAACGGATACTGAATGAGCGATTCTTATTTATTGTAACGCTCTGATTCGTGCAGTCTCTTTGTCTTAAAAATCATCCATGCCTGATATTGCTCCGCAGCAACTTCATGTGTATTCTAGACTTTCAATGCAGAGCTTTCCCTTTTTTCTTCTCCTCTCCTTGTTACATCCTCGTTTATCTTATTCATACCTTTCTCTTTTTGAATCTGCTCATTACTCTCACCTTCAGTTTTATTCTCTTTACCTGAGTTTTTAAAAGCTGATTCCAATTGTTTGCACAGTCTGCTGAAGGTTAAAGTCGGTGCTTTGTGAAGTGCTTTTGTGTCAAAGAATCATATCTAATTGGCATGGTGAAAAAACACATTTTATAATAAAAATATCTTTGGTTAAGAAGTGGTGAATTTATTCAACCCCACAAAAATGACTTGAAAATTCAATTTATTCACTTTAGTGACTCAATAAAATGTGAAAACATTCAACCTCATGTTGAGAAAATATGTAGCTATTCCTTTTCTTTCTAAATTTTAGTTAAGGCTGATGTATGGAGCTAGATATTAGGCTTAACTTTAAACAAAAAGAGACCAATTAAAAAGCTCTATAGTATAAATATTCCCCAACTGGTAAGCAAGTTATTACTTTGGTTGCTAACAGATTCCCATGGTTCCTTGTATATGACATGAGTGATAATGACCTATCTGCCAGTACTCGCTAACTACTAGTTAAGCGATAGGAAAACTGTAACACAAACCAGAAACAGAACAAACATTCTCCTTCTAAGCACAGTTTTGAAGAGTATCAGAGTATTTGCATATAAGTGGACGTGTTCACTGCAAACTATGAGCCTGATTTACTTTATCCTACACTGCCACTATTTCAAAACGGAGGACAAGTTTATCTAATTTGGTTAGCGGTTATGTGAAGGCAAAACTGTTAAATATTATGATATATATCCACAAATCCAGCCAATCCAGAATTGAATTCAAAATCCTGCTCCTCACATACAAGGTCTTAAATAATCAGGCCCCATCTTATCTTAATGACCTTGTAGTACCATATCACCC